CACACACACACACACACACACACACACACACACACACACACACACACGTGTATATATATGTAATGTATATATATATATATATATAATCATGTATTTACTTAACATGACATTATATGTGGAACTGCAGAAGGACGATAGTAATGAATAAGAGGGGTGAGAAACAGGAGGATCTGCAAGACATAGATTTAAAGTATATTATATGCTTGTATGAAAGCATAAATACATATCTTGCATATACAAAAATGTAAGTATATGTGTGTAACATAGCCCTACGTACAATGAATTTGTGCTAATGAAATAAAAATATACCAAAAACAGGCTAAGGAAATGACTTAGTAATTAAGTGCACATACTGTTCTGTAGAAAGCTCCCTCCCAGCACTCATATTGGGCTGCTCACAATCACCTATAACTCCAGTACCTTCTTTTGGAGAATACCAACATCTTCACTTATGTGCTCATGCCCTCATACAGACATATATACATATACACATATACACATATACAATATTAAAATAAACTAAATATTTTTTAAAAAATAAAAAGCAAAAGCAAGAAGAACATGACTAAAGACTGGCAGAGATGAAGAAAGATAATTGGCCAATGGTCCTGAGGTCTGGTGAAGTGAAAGAGCAGGTAAACTGAAGAGCAAGTGAGCAGCAGAGCAGAAAAACTGAAGGAAGCATGAAATCAGGACTTGGACTACACAAGAAAAATACAGGCTTGCCTTCACAGATCTGTCTCCTAGGCATGGAAGACTTCTGCTTTTTATTATCAGGAAACCAACTTCAAAGGAAATTAAGAGACCAGATTTCAAAAGACCGTGAACAAACCCCAAAGTTTTCTAATTTTACAAGTTGGTAATTAAGTAATGTATGAAGCCCTACAAGAAAAATGACAAGCAAATACAACCCAGTATTTATGGAAGATGGCTGTGTCTAAGGCTTCGAGAACACAGTGGTGGTTTGAGTGAGAAATATCCCTGAAGGCTTGATCTAAACAGTTGATTCCAGTTGGTGTTGCTCTTTGGGGTAGGTTTAGTCAGTGCAGCTCTACTGAAGAATATGTACAACAGGAGACAGAGTTTGAGATTATATAGTCTCAGTCCATATTCAGTTTGCTCTGTCTTCTTACACTTGTGTTTGAAAATGTGAGCATTCAGCTTCCTGCTTTCATCCAGGCTTGTTGCTTTCTTGACAGGCTTCTCTGCCATGACAGACTTTCAACCCTTGGAAACCATGGGTCCAAATATAGTCTTTCTTCTATGAGCTGTCTAGGTCACAGTATTTCTTCACAGCAACAGAAAAGTAACTAAGATAAACACCAAGTATGGGCAACCATGACACCTGCAACCCTAATAAAAAGGAGATGTATTGTTAAGTTGGCCTCAAGGTGAATCAATAGTACCTGGCAACCTATTAGATATGGGACATGGAAAATCCAATATGTTTTTTCTTGTAGCCTTTTCTCTTCTCTCTATATAATGTTTTCTCAGTTCTATCTCCTAGAAATATTTTTCAGGAATCCCAGGCCTCCCAAAGGAATATGTGAATAAGTCACTTGTGAGCATACAAAATCCATAATGCTTCTGACCAACAGCCTCCATAAAATGTCGTCTTTTGAAATAAAAAGGATACAGCAGTGAAGGGTGACCCATGTTCCCAACTGCTTTAATACAACAAAAGTACTTCAAAATACCTCAATATATCAAGAAGCAATCAATTCCATTTTGACAGTTAATAAAATACATTTTGCATTATGAAGAAAGCTTTCCAAGTTTATAGAGAGATCAAGATGAATAGCAAATGTTTTGCACTTGGAATTGTTTTTTAAGGAAAATTATGTCAGCAATGATGTTGAGGAAGCTTATGCTGCCATACAATAAGCGTGGTAGCATTTCTTTCCCCCTCCTTTCTTCTTTCTTTCCCTTCCTCCCTCTCTCCCTGACTTTCCTTTTTTCTTTCTTCTCTTTTTCAATGCAAAAGTTTTAAGATGGGAATAATAATAATAAAAGTAAAAGGTTTAGATACCTTCTCCACTTTCCAAAATGCAACTCCCAGTTCTGAAAACGTCATGATAAAGGGAATGAGAGCTTGAAACCAGTGCATGAAAAGACAAGCTAATGTGCCTACAGTTAGTGATTTGTTTGTTACCTGTTGTGTGGCGGTCCCAAGGCTGTATTATCTGTCCTCACTGGGAACACTGTTTATATGCAATTACCTGTCACAGCTGATAAAAATTATCTTTGCCAATTCATCCCGTGCTTTTGGATAAATTCATCCCACTCTTCTAATTAATTCATCCCACTCTTCATCCCACTCTTCAGCTCTCATTATCAACCTGTGAGCGTCATCAACAAACTCCAAGATTTCACAGTATCCTCCCTACCTTCACGCTTTCTTTGCAAATGTCAAATTAGACACTTCCAAGCACAAAGTTGTAGGAAAGGAACTATTAATATCTCAATTGAAAAAGTTAAATTTGCCTGCTATGATAGTTCACATCTGTATTGCTAGGCTGAGGCAGGTAAGAGGCAAGGCTGTAGCTATATAGTGAGTTTCAGACATCCTGTGTGAAACTATCTCAAGAATTCTAATAAGGAAGAAAAGAAGAGAAGGTAAAAAAGGGGGGGAGGGAAAAAAGGAAGAAAAAAAAAGAGCAATGAAGGAAGACATTTTTCTCTTTTTCCATCTTTCATACTTAAGACAAATCTTCATATCATTCTTCCCTGGAAGCAAAAGTTTACATACTTTGTGGAACCATATACAGTTTTAAGAAGGCGTTTGTCTTTCCTTTCATGTCAATAAAAATAAAATAAAATTTTCTAATGTATCTGTCCACAAATCTGAGTCAAAGATTTCAGTTTATCAGAGTGGCTTGAGTTATAATCTTATATAAGATATTATATTAAATATTATATTAGAGACAATTAATATGTTATTATCTTCAAGCTGGAAGACCTTATTGCTCAAAATTTAGTGAACAGGGAGAAACTGGACAGGATCCTCTGGCAGTTTTAGGGAGGAATTTAAAAATGTCTTCTGTTCCCCACTGTTATCAATAACGACTTGCTGTGTAAAAGGAAATAAGTGAAGTAAATAAGTAAGTTACTTGCTCACATGGTGAGCCCACTCAGGATTTATGTCATAGATTCCTTTCCTCCTCATGGTTATAATTATTGGTTCAGTCAATGCTTTTACAAGCCCTGGTTATAACAATAATGGCCGATTTAAGGAATATAGAGAACCAACAATATGGAATGAGTCAGCCCAAATTACCTTAAACAAAATAGTTATACAGAGAAGGAAAATAACTTCCAGAAGGCTCTTAGAAGATTAGTACTGTAAAAATTAATAAAATTGTTGATTTCCAGTATTTCCTCTCTGGGTATCAGGAGACAGGATATGAAGAAAATTTGCTTTGAGTTCTCGTTAGCTATCATTTTAGTCAATTTCAGTTTTTATTTTTGGCTTAAGGAGAAGAGAAGTGAAAGATTGTGTAAGCTCTTTCATTAAAATATGAGCAAAAAAACAAATAGAAAAAGCCTTTTAAAAACAAAGAGAACAAAAGAAAAGCAAGAAATCCCTTCAAGTTTTGGCTTTGATGGCAAATTAAAGACTATCTGATTTAATATTGGCAGGGTAGCTAAACACAGACCCAAACTGTCTCCTAACTAGCTTCAATATTTCTCAAAAACAATCACAAGTTACTGACACATTTCTATTATCAGCTTTACTCTATACTGGCTCAAAACAACAATGCCTTTTAATGTTCTCATCAACAGTGTTTGTGGCTGCTGGGTTCACAGATGGCTTCGACCATTATCTTATGTAACAAAATAATATATAGATAGAAGAATCAATATGTCTAAAGACACTCAAAAGTGTGCTTGTTGTTTACTTTCTTGAAAGTTTCCACTGTATTAGTTAACTTTCCTATTGCTGGGATAAAATACTATGACCAAGGAAACTTAAAGAAGAATGAGTTTATTGAGCTTATGTTTTCAGAGTAATAAGAGGAAGCATGGAGGCAAACAGCATGGTGGCCCAAGCAGGAACCTGAGAATGCAAGTCCTCGATGGCAAGCAGAAACCACAGTGAGAGTGGCTTAGGTATGTAAATTCCCAGTGTCACCCACCCCCAGTGACATTCTTCCTCCATCAATCTTTTCTAACCAACTAGTGATAGCAACTAGTGACTAGGTATTCAAATACATGAGCCTGTGGGGAACTTGTCCATCCAAAGCATGACAATGTTGTAGTTACTTTCATTGGCATGATTAAATACTCTGAACAAAGCAACTTAAGGGGCAATGCACTTATTCTAGCTCACAGTGTGAGGGTAGGGCAAGCCTTGTGACAGCAGCTTAATGTAGCTGCTCACAGGAAGCAGAGATGAAGGCCAGTTCTTCAGTCATGTTCTCATTCTATATGGTCCAGGATCCCCATCCAAGGAATAGTTTTGTCTATAGTTAAGATAGGTCATGACACATCAACTAACCTAATCAAGATAATCCCTCACCATTAAAACCAGAAGTCAAATAGTTCCTAAGAGGTATGCCTGTAGGCTCATCTCATAGATGGTTCTAGATCCTGTCTAGTTGACGATTAATAACACTAACCATCACCCACTAGGTTTATGATTGACTTGCTTAATTTTTTTTCAATTTGTATTCATTTATTTTATGTATTGAGAGTACAGTGTGTATAGAGGACAGAGGACAATTTGTGGGAGTATGTTCTCTCCTACTCCCTGGAGTTTAACTCAGGCCATCCATCAGGCTTCACAACAAATGTGGTAAGTATCTTTATCTACCAAGCCATCTCACCAGCCTGCTCCTGATATTCTATACTAATTTTGACAATTAGAATCCTCCAGCCAGAGATTGGGCTAAGGATGAGTAAGACAAGTGAATGTGAGTAAATGAGAAGTGAAGAGGCCTTTATACTTCTGGAAAAAGGTGCTCTTGTCTCTTTAGAAGGACCAGTGCCACCTCCAGCAGCTATAAGTGAAGTTGGTATTAGGGTGAAACTGACCATCTAGACAGTGGTACAGTGGAATTAAACAAAACAAACCTCCGGGTCACTGCTACTACTGTTTAGATGCTAAATTCATTAACCTCTGAGGACTTCTAGCTATGACAAGAACATTTATTGATACAGCTTGTCTCAGCAAAGCTTTCTTTTTATCTGTGGTTGAAAATATACTAACATAAATCATTTTTGTTACTCTGTCACAGAAGGTATACTCAACTGAACACATAGGTAGGAGAATAAAAGAAAGTAACTAGCTAGTAGTCTAGGTTATACTTCCATTTAAGAAGTTGTGATCAATTATAATCTTACAAAATTCAAAATGTTATGAGATGAAGAAATTCGACTGTCCTATGGTCTGCAGACCCTAAGAGCCCAGAGAGGGACAGTAGAGTTAAAGAGCCTGGTATGCTTTTCTTTACCAGAGGCTTCAATTTAGCTTGATCAAGTGTCTACAGATAGATAAGACTATTTCTGATGGGTAAGGTTAATCATGGACAAAACAGTCTTACTTCTTTTACATATTGGCCTCTTCACTTTGAACTTTTGCTCTTTTTCCCAATGCAGACACATAAGTGAAATTGCTCTCTGTACTCTCCCTCTGTTCCTTCTCCTCATTCTAAAACTTGCCACCATTTTTCTAACAAAGTTATTCTTTGGCCCCACAAGTGCTACCCACTTAAAAACATGTTTTCTGTCAGAATTCAAAACTCCTTGACAGAAAGCCCTCTTCCCACAACTTCTCTCTCACATGGGAGAGGTGTCATAGTGAAAATGTTCAAAGAATGACTGTCCTGGCTCAGTCTTTCCTTTCTTCCCACATAGCTTTCTTCCTTCTCTGTCCAGCTTTTCTTCCATCTCTTTCTGAGAACAAACTCTGCTGGGCTTGTTCTTCCTCCCTGCTTGATTGACACTACTGCAATTCACTCACTCTAACCTTCATTCTTCCCTCTCAGATCTCACCTAACGTGGTCAAGACAGTCACTTATTCTACAACTCTCAAACCACCCACTCCTCCCTCCCGTCATTCTGCTCAGCCAGGTGGATTCATAGTCAACCTGGCCAAAAGATATGCTGTTCCTAAAAGTACTTCTTACAACTATTTCTGAGCTATTTCCCGCTTGTATTTCCACTATTAGCAAACAGCACATCCTGCACCTATACTCAGCAGTGACCCTGACTCCCGTTTGTTTAACGTTTTAGTATTTGCTTTCTCAACTCCCACATTAAATCAGTTACCAGATTTACCTAGGACTCTTAAAAGTCCCCTCACCCCTGCCTTAAGGAGTTATCATTATTTCATACAAAGACAAATGGACCTCTTTAACTTCAGCTTTTTAATGTTCTAATCTGGGTTTTTCTTAATATAGAAACAGGATCGTTTTGCTTTGCTATCTGATGGCTTTCTAAAGCTGAAGGACAAAATTCACCTTCATGGCATAGCTTTATTAACCTTTAATCTTTCCCCGGTTATAGCTCTATATGCTTTATAAAAGTCTTATCTCCCCAGGTAATGGCTTGGTAGTGGTGTTAATATGAAATACCTCCCATAGAGTAATGTGTGAACATTTAGTTCCCAGATGGTGGTGCTGTTTTGGAAGCTTGTGGAGGCTTTAGGGGGTGGGACCTCACTGGAGAAAGTGAGTTCCTGGGATGTAACAGCCTGTCTCCACTTCCTTTCTGTTCTGTTTCCTAACTGTTGATACAAATGACCAACTGTCTGGTCCTCCTGTTGCATGTCTTCCACAACAGAGAGGACTATACCTGTTCAAACTGTGAGCCAAAGCAAGCCCCTCACCCTTAAATTCCTCCTGTCTGGGAATCTGGTACAGAAGTGAGAAATGTGACTAATTCCTGGGCATGGCTCATGTCCTGCCTCACTGTGCAACTGGAACTGAGAAATCAATTTCTCTCCTAAGTGACATTCATGATCAGGTTTGAGAATATAAATACATCTTGGCTTCATGCCCACACATACCTCAATGATAATTTCAGCCCAGAGCCCCTCATAAACCCTTGTCAGATATCCATTGTAATAGTGGA